TAAATATAAATAAAAACCTTTTATACTCTCCTAAACAATTTTTAAACTCTTCTAAACATCTAATTAAAACTAATGATAAAATGAGAACTTGTCCCTTTTATCAACTTTATTCTTGTTAGCTTTATTTTGTGCTCTCTATTAATTCTTAGCTAGAAAGCATTGGCTTTTGAAATATTAAAGTAAAGCAAACAAAACTACTGAGATTCTTTTTGCTCTCTCTATTGCTTAAGGGATTTTTTTTTTTAAAAAAAATAATCAGATAATAACAAAACAACAATGTGGTAGAGGAGCAAACAAATGATTGAGGAATAAAATTATATATGGTATATATCTATATTCTAAGTAGCTATCTATATATAAAAAATTGTACTAGTTATTACTAGAATAATTTTATTTTCTATATAATTATATATACACATACATAATAAAGCTTTTCTCCTTTTTCACATTTGTTTATATATAAAAAAAAGAAGATGCATTGAGGATTTGAATATCCAATATTCATTGTTTTGTTGTTTACACCATCCAATTAAATGCAACTTGCCTTGGCTTCTTCTCTTCTCATCTTTTATTTATTCCTTTTTCTTGGTTTCTCGTTTTTCGATATTCAAAGCTTATATTAGAGCTCAATTAAATTTAGATTGTGTGAAAATGAAATTTCATCTTCTCCATGAACTAATAATGTAGTGCCCATTTTTGAGCAATTCATCACGTCAATGTTCAATAATGGGTTGGCACAAGACTCGTAAAACGTACAGACTAGAATTTTTTTATCGATTTTTATACAATTAGAATTCAACCACTGTTTATTTTGGTTAATTGGGTTTGGAATCTATTATTTATAATCGGGACCAGTGAGAGGATCAAACTATTAAAGCAAGGGCTTTTGGAGTTTCAATTTTCTTACTCTTTCGATATTTTGTATTGAATATCTTGATTAATTCAATTTAGTACTACGTTAAATCGATTAAAGAGGAAGCTCTCCTTAGAAAGATTTTTATTTTTCATCATGAGACTTGAAACGGCCAAAAAGATTTTTAGATAAGAAGAAGTATGAGACCCAATATTTAGCCCCTCTAAACCCTTACCATGATTGAGAAGAATATTATTAATTTTATATTTCAAAAAGCTAAAATAATATCTCATGATAATATATATGACGTTTCATAAAAAAATAAATAAGATCTTCATTAAAATTTTAACTTTAGACAATTAATTTTATTGAAATGCCTCTGTTTATAATTCGAGCATAGCTACTTATTTTAAATGAATTCATAAGTTGACACTTTCATCTACCCCTAAACATCCAAAAAATGAAATCGAAATAATAATTGAAAAGAAATCATAATAGCTTTTATATTTCTTTTTAAAAAAGGAGAAGACATAGGATCAATATTCGATTATGATCCACTAGTTATCAGTTCAATTTAAATAAACATAAAAACTCGAAATATGAACTATTTTATATATTAGTTTGATACTTTTTAACCTAACACGTTCATTTGACGCACCTGTTCATTAGTACCAAGTACTACTTATTAGTCTTGTTGTTTCTCATGGTGTGCTACATGAAAAACCAAACAGCATATCCGTACGCAAACTTTATCCAAGAACGTGTATGGTTGGGATTTGGGATGATATATAAAAATTTGGATCTTTCGATAAAAAAGATATGGCTAAAAGTTCGATAAAGAAATAAGAATATTGTAAGGGAAAATGGCATCTATGATTATTGGTTACTTTTGGTATACGTTCGATATTTATTTTGAGTTTTGATTTTTTTTTTTTATGTATTATGATATGAATAATATGATGAGGTAGGAATTGCAAAGGGAAGGGAATATATTACATATATTAATAAGTGGACAGGGGAAGAGCAATTATTCCTTTGACCACCAATAGTTTTTTTTCTTCCTATTATATATATATATATATATATATATATATATATATATATATATATATAAATTGTATTTACAACTTCTCTTCCAAGTTTTCTCCTTTAAAATTTGGAATATTAGCAACCTACACCACATAATTTGCATGGATTCTCTCTTGGGATTGTGTTAGATTATTTTCTTGCTTTATTAGATTTGTTAAGGTTCCCTTTGTATTTATTTAATATTATAATTATAATATAAAGTTACAACATGACTAATAAGTAGTTTGTTCCAATTCAAAGGAATAATTAAGCTCAAATTATACTAATTAACAAGTAGTTCTTATATATATCCAGGTTAGATAAGAAGAGCCTTACTAATATTATATCTATTTGTTAATTGTTTTAGTACAAATCAAATGGGCTAGTTATCTATATATCTATATATATATATATATATCTCACTCAGCCAACTATTTTATCAACATGATTAATTTTTCAATTAAATTGTAGGTGCTTAATCCAAAACTAAATCAAAAGGTTAATCAAGATCTTAAAGGGTGATTTAATTGAAGAAATTAAGTGTAACAATAGCCACATGGTGAATCGACATACTACCATATGAGGGTCAACAAGGAGTACATAAGTTGGATGCAATAAAAGGAAAAAACACCATGATGTCTTCTCCCAAATATTTGATTTTGGAACGACGAAAGCATGATTTTCGTTAAAACTGTTAATTTCGATCTATTTTACTTTTAAATGACCATTTCTCAAAATTAAGGGGACTTTGGCTTTTAAATGGAAGTTTGGGGATGAAAATGATTTTCATTCATTATGTCAAAGAGATTAATACATATATATGAAAAAAAATTATATTTACATAAGTATAATTTTCAATTATTTGCACATGAGTCTCTGCCTTCGTTTTTACTTTGTAATTAAATATAAATTAAAGTTATTTTGTTTTTTTTTTTATGAGTGGGGTTATGTACAAATATTCGTACAAAATATCTAGTGTACTTTTTTTTTTTTTCGATTTGGAGGCAATGGAATATCATATGGTGAATATCAAATAATGGAAAAGTAATTTCCCTTTGGAATGTAATGTGGAGAATAAATTCTTCATTGTGAAGTTACTCTAAATGATAAAAACACAACAATGAGAAGTGGCAGTGAATATACCACATATTTACAAATATGGGTACATCCAATAAAAATGAAGAGGCATGGCAATTATTATATTATAAAGTGTTTAGCTGTATACTGATTCTACTGATGATCATGAATTTCAAGCACATTTCTTATCATATTTTTTTATGAAGTTGACAGTCACTTACTTGTGGGATGCCCTATGATGATGATTCTCAGTCTCATCTTGGACCCCATCATAACTTGTTGCATGTACTATATAACAATTTATTAATTCACAATCCCTGAGGATAGTTAAGTTGGTGCAATATGAGGTATAATATACGTAAGGAAATTTATATGTTATATTTTTCTTTTGTTGATTGAGTTCGTTGCATATGACTTATCTAAATACAATTTATATCTTATATGTGATTTGTAAGATATTGCATATGAATAAATTTATCAATATGCACCCAAAGACTATCATTTTACGTGAGACTTTTTAGATTTCAAGATTCAAACAAATTTATATTTTGACCATAAATTTTGCATAGATCTTTTAAACATTTTGAATTAATTATTAATGTGACTTATGGTACTTTTTACGTAGTTTACAAATATATAAATTTTATTTCAAAAAAATAGAAGATTCCATGCATAACAAATTTTAACTGTTTAACTTATAAAAACGAAAAATGTCACGTAAATTAAAATAGAGCGAATATTAATTTATCTCTTGATCCCTAATCTCAACAGATATGATACTATTCATTAATGAATTAACCCCACCATATATAATTAAACTAATTAAGGGTCATGTAAATATGCGTGTGTTGTCAAAAGAGCCATACAATGAGGAAATAATTTTGTTTGCACTAAAATTGATTGTGTTTTATTTAAATTTTTTTTTATGCATCTCGTGTGAAAAGAGGTTACACAACAAATAATCTTAACAGGTAATTAAAAAAAAAAAGTGCTAAGATGCAACAACTGCTAGAAAAATCAAATTTTTCGAAAACTTTATGAATTTATATCTACAAAACTGTATAATTTTTATATTAATTTAGTCCCTATGTGCGGTTGATTATTACATACACTAGAGGTGCTTAGTGTTTGTAGGACATGTTAAATAAACCATAAACAAGGGGCACCCTTGCTTCTTATCTTTCATACATTGTATGTCTCTGTTTGTGAAAGAGCAAAGTTTATGCCAATTACAAAAAAAGTGGACAATACAATACAATATATTTGGCCATCACTATGTGCTGTTCTGAACCAATTTTGACACATATCTAAAAGGTATATTTATATGAGTTAATCTTAATTATTAAACAGGAGTTTGTGCTACTGGCTGCTAATGTGAATGGGGATCCCATGAAACGGCCTAACCTGGCCTTTTTTTTTGGCCCTTTATCTAGTGACAGCATTATGGCATATAATGATGTTTAAGGGCATAAATTAAAGGTAGCATGCTTCATCTGAAAGAAACCTAGATAAAGTAATGTTTATTATACATGGAAAAAACTGCTGTGTGGAACAGGGAAACATGATCTTGTACCCATGAAAATGACACAAAGCTTGCCTTTTTTATTTAGAGGGTAACTTAATATATGTGTGTGTGTACGTACATATTCTTTTAAGATCATCATTTCCTGATGAGCTCCAACCAGGAATTTGGCTCAATAAAGAAAGACCACCAGGAGAAAATTATGGGGTCAAAGAAATAATAGAAGAATCATGCTTTAATAGAATTGCATGCCATTCTCATTCTTTATCTGTTAATTTAGAGCACATATGCTGTGAATGGTAAAAACAAATCACAAAGCTTTTTACGCATGATTTCAGGGCTTATACATGCCATGAAAATGATGTGCTCTAATAAAACGAATGTATGAAATTTTACTGTAAGAAAGAAAAATAGTCGTGTTCGTAGGGAATGTTTTCTTTACAATAAGGGCAGTACAGAAAAGAAAAGAAAATACAGGGATATTGAAATAGAACAATGAGTATTCTATAAAGGCTGCGGCCATAAAATCAGTAATGTTATTTTGACAAGCAATGGGTGAGAATAGGCACGACACTCATATCTACATTAATTATACAACCTCTGATCGCAGTTATTTAAAGATGAAAACTGGGATTTTAACAACAAAAAAGCAAGTGTTACTGAAGTTAATACTAAACATTGAAAATTTGGAAGGAATCAACCACAGTCTGTAGTCTATCCTTCATCTTCCCCCATCTCCTCTCATTTGCACCAGTTGTCAATGTATAGAACTTTCCTGCATTACGATTCACCATTCAAATATTAGCAAGTTTATGCATATTCAAGTCCACGTAAAAGCAGTTCTGAAAGACAGTGATTTTAGACGCAATGAGTTGTAAAAATAACAGGAGGGGATTAGGATAGACATAAAATGAAACCAGGGAAGTCTTGGGCTGACCGGCATTAGCCTTATGTTCAAATTAAACAATGGGAAGTTTATCGTCAGTTCAAGACATTTCATAGGAAAGATTCAAATTATAGATACAATGCACTCAGGGCTGGCAGATAAAATGAACAAATATAGCAGTTGATAGAAGTAGTTGTACTGCTTATATAATACAAGCTATTGAATGCATCAACGTTTTAGTTTTAAGGGGTTTGAACCCCCTCTTCCAATAACTAAAAAAGAAGTGAATTATTGGAAGAAGGCCTAATCTACTAGCATGCTGACAACAAAGACAGTCACTGATAGCAGATCACTTGCATGACTCATAAGTTTTGAGGTAGAAGTAAACTAATAAACCTTATTGTCCATGTAGATAAATCTATCTTTATACGTTAGCATATTATCCTATATGGGGATATAGGAGACTGAATCGGTTCTTGCTAAGTTGATGACTCCGCAGGTTAGGGGAAAATTACTGCATGTCATTTTTCAGGTTCAGAGGAATGTCCTCGAGATTTAAATTGCTGCATCTTTTAAATAGTTAGTGCTTAACTACAATAATTTAAGAACTTGCAGGTAACCAAGTTCTATTCCAGAACCAAGCCAGCAAAGAAGAACATTCTCCATAGCATGCACATCATCAATTAAAACCTAAGATACAATTCATACCATTGCCAATGCAGACTACAGTGAGGGCATGCCGAGTATAATTTGGGGCTTGTGCAACAAACTCGAACGTGTAATATGTTTTTCCATCAACGACGCGCTACAAAATGATCAGACAATGATCCCGAAATAAAATTAGATACATCCAATGGTTATGTAAAAGCTGATATTAGATAATACAAACATGATAAAAAGTAGTAAGCATATAAGGAAAATAATAGTTCGCAGAGTTGTGCAAATTTCGGGATGAATCTTATCCCAGTTCTCATTTTACTAAAAAAGCCATGATTTCCTTAGTCAGTAGAGCGCACCAGGAATATGCTTTCTTATGAAGAATCTACACATGGTTGAAGTAAAGCACGTAGAAAAGTCAAACTATGAAGCTGTTTACTGGCAATATCAAAATTCCATGTGCATCAGATTAACTGCCTTTCTTGATAGGCTAAAACTTTATTCCTTTCATTAGTACAAAGGTGAAAAGACGAGCTAGACGATCAAAATATTATGACTCTCACCTCATGACTGTAAGTTAGTCTCTCTCTCTCTCTCTCTCCTTCATTCATTGGGAGTTGTGTAGGTTGAAGTTTTTATCATTTCTTTTTTTTACAAAAATCTCATTACCTCCCGGAAAGACTGCAAAAGGGAGACGAACTGGGTGGGATTACTTGTCATATTTCCTTGTGATGTATTCAAGTATGAAATAGCTAAAATGTCATTTCTAACGATGACAGCAAAGGCAGAAATAGCTTAACTTTGCTCCAGTGAAACTAATCTAAGCAATTTATGACCTCAATCCAAGAATATCTAGAAATTGAATCATAAATATTGATCATCGTTTATCTTACATGATACAAATTGTCAATAGCTGATCCTTAGTAGATATAATTCAATACCTCATATAGTAACTAGTCTTTTTTAGTGTAGTAATTTTATCCAAAGCCAGATGGCTTCAAATATTTTCCAAGAATTGTGAAGTGGTTGGCATTTAAAACTAATTAGGAGGACAACAGACTCATGACTGCTAAACTTATTTGTCATTTCTTGGTACTAATCCAAAAACAAATAGGAATCATTCCTTGGTAGAGATTTTAAGAGAGGCCGCTTTTTTGTAAACCAAATTTCTCCTACACTTATGCTCTCTAAATAGACCTGAGTGCCACTAGAGAGCTATGAGAATGTTGGAACACAGGTCAGCAGTCAAAGTAGTGCACAAACTCATATGTCACAACATGAACTGTAAAAAGATGGAGATAAATATATGTTTTTCAAAGGCAAAGTTCAGAACTTCTGAAAAGGTTTACCTAACTAAAACTAGAAAATTTCAGGACTAACTACTACACAGAATTAGACCGATTATGTTGTTAGGGGTGGGGTGTTGGCCAATCTAGAATTCGCTTGTTCAGAAGTTGAAGGTAGAAGAAATAAGAATGTTCGGATAGATGTGCGGGCATACTAGAAGTGATAAGTTCAGGAATGAAGATATACATGGCAACGTGAGAGTAGCTGTCGTGGTGGACAAGATGTGGGAAACGAGATTGAGAAGTTGGCGACGATAGGTCTGAGGAGAGGTAGAGGTAGACTGAGGAAGCACAGGGGAGAGGTGATCGTACAAGACATGACACATCTGCAACTAATCGAGGACATGATCTTAGATTGAAAAGCATCAATGTGAAAGATAGTGTTAGACGATTAGTAGGTAGTAGAGTGTTTCCTTTGCACAGATATAGAACATCTGTATTTCTTAAACAAGCTTCAGACTAGATTTGGTTGTTGTTGCATCAACGTAGCTACACAATACATGAGCTTTATTTTTTGCAAGGCCGAATGGATTTTTTTAAGGGCATAAAACATTAAAATATGTTGACCAAATGATTCGATCCAGAAAGAAGATATATAAGTGAGTTAATTCAAAGATTCTAAGGCTGTGAAATGTTTATTCAACAGTAACACCAGTGATAGTTCAGCATGACAAGCAGTCAAGGATCAGTTACAAATTTTCAGTAATGGAAGAAATATCAAAATACACACCTCTGATGATTCAATTAGTTTTGTTTTCTGAGAAGGCGATGCTAAAAACTTTTTTATTAAAGTTTCAGCAACCTGCAATATGCATAGTTTGTGGTTAGGACACATTCATGAGTGCCCACAATCAAGAAATCCACCTGAAAATCTAAGTTCCATTGGGCAAAATAATCCAAACAGTTACATGAAGCCTTTTCATGTAAATGTCTAGGATAAGTGATTTAGCACTTTAACAAACCTGTTGTGGCGAACCAAAATCCCGTATGTCCTCTTTACTGCTTGGTACCAAATTTACACTAGCACTTTCTAGTGGTTCAATAACATCTTTGAAAACTTTATCTTCACCTTCAACAACGACTTCCTGGGCAAAGGTAGAAAATGAATAAAGAAACAGCTAAAGAAAAGTATAAATGGATAAGACAGGTTTAATTTATAAGAGGGTAAAGTGATTCAGAAATTAGCTAAAAAAAATTAGTTAAATTTTATAAAAGGTGACTAAATTTATTTTATGAAGTGAAAATCTGAAATCGCTAAACCCATAAATGCAGCTCCATACTCGTGTTTCCCAAGCAAATTATTTACACAACTATGACATTAGAACAAAAGACAGACGTAAATGAAAACCAACAGAGAACATTATAGTCATTAAGTGAAGATGACCTGCCACCCAAAAGGATAGAGGAAAGAGTATCCATCCTTCTTGTCTGTGACAGGCAGAAATCCCTTCTTATTTCCTGCAGCAACTGAGCCATATCAAAGGGTCTACTCTTAGGATTCCAGTCATTAAAATTTAAAGAATCAACAAGATACATGAATGGAAGTGTGACTGTGAGAAATGCATCACAACTTCATTTCGTCAAACATTAAAACAAGAATGTAGGGAATTAACAGGGTAAGATGCTGCATAAAGACTTTTACATGATGTTGGTATCTGAGAAGTCATCAGCAGCAACGGGACAATTGTTGGTCCCACGGCAAGAAATTGACGCCTCCCAAGTCTATCTGTAAGGAAACGGATAGAGGAAAATAGTGACTGGTCCTGCTTTAATGCCAAAATGTCAATCAACATCGGACAAAATTATAAACTGCCAGGACTATTCCCACATCTTATAATCAAAAGAAGAGCCTATAATGAGCATATCAGGAATCTGGGATGACATTTAATTCAAGATAAAAGAACTGAAACGGTCATCCAACAAACAACATTGCAGTTCATGTATGCAAAGGTGTTACTATCAACCAATTCATGCATTATTACTTATTTTTTTCCTTCAAAATAGAATAAAGTTTACTTCAAATTCCTTTATAAGACAGCAATTTTGAGCTCATTTTTCTTCATCATTAAAACATTATTCCTCTACCTGGAAGATGATCCCATTTATGCTCATCAAAATAGCAGGTAAAGCGAACCGAAATAACATAACCATATAAAAACTAGAGGAGATTACAATATTGAACTAAACATCCCTGCTTTTTTCAGTATAAGACTGTTCACTACGTTAAATGGGATCCCCCACAGAATTCTACAGGAACTATGAAACTGTGTACTCTTCCTTCACTTTACCTATAATTGTAATCATAAAACTAGAAATAAATTAAGACATTGTCTGAGTAAAGTCATTGAACTTTAAAGTTTTATACTCGGTCACATTTCATTTCTTTAGTCAAGGCCTTCTTAGATATAACTAATTTGACAGCTCGATCAGACTCTGTTACAAATTCAAAAGTAATCTAACCTTGGCAAGAGGAAGTGGAAGTTTCAGTCACATTCTCTGACCTGATAACACATCCAGGAGCCCTACGGTTGTGACCACTCCTAAACCACCCCAGTTGATGCATCACATCCACCTTTATAAGTGAAAATGAACTTTTAAAATTGGGATACATTATCAATGCTAAGCAAGATGGAAGAAGAATCCGACACGATACCTGAGATGAAGATGCATTTGGCAAGTACGCCTGACACGGAGTGATATAATTTTGAACTAACACCATCCCTCAAAATCCTAAGCAAAAACTGTGAAATCGTGAAATCATGAAAACAAGTATACACACTGTTTATCCAATCAAGTTAAATGAGTTCAGTAAACAGCTCAATTAGGTTTTTCCAATTGAATTCTCAGAGAACAAATAATCAACAGAATCAGTGACTCTAGTATCCGTACGTTCTACGTGCCTTTTACGACGATAAGTAAGTAAAATATGGAGAAAAGCATGAGTAGTTGATACAGTTACCGTACAATGTCGCTACCGGTGAAGAAGCGTCGGTTGCCGGGAGAAGAAGACTGAGTTGGTTTCAGTTTATGCAATCTTCACATCATCCAATATCTCCCTCTCAAATCTCAATTATCCACCCACCTCTCCTGCCCCTCCACCCATTATATTATATAGGGAAATGACTTAAATACCCTATACGTTATTTTAAATTTGAATAGGGAGTAAAATCATATTATTATCTTTATATTTACTTATGGAGTAATACTACAGTTTACTTTTGAATATAAATAATCGAAAATAAACATGCAAGTTAATAATGTTGAATAATGAAAATATAAGCATACCACGAATAAATTTAACGATAATAACTGTAACGAGAAATTTATTAGATTTAAAATCTACATGCTATAAAGCACAATTATTATAAAAGAAGAAGGTAGATATATAAGAAAATATTCATTGCAACGAACTAAAATTTACTATTCTAAAATATTTAATTAGTAATAATCAAAATTTAATAAAGAGGAAATGAAAGAGTGGTAACAGATTATGAATTGCCTTCCCTTTGGACCCTTGAGAATTGACTAGTTGGTCTGGTGAGTAGTTTCGCCCATGGAAAACGCACTAGATTTTCTAGTGCATTTTATATCTTTCGTAAAGTTTGTGAGCTATGTTTTGTATAGATTTATGAGTAATTACAATATAAATATCATTAATTTTACAGCAAGTTACTTTGTTTTCATGCTTTTTTATAAATTTTTAATATAAAAAATGTTATTAAAATTCAAACTTCTAATATTTATGTTTTATTTGCGCTTATTTAGCTGTAATTAATTTTATATACAATATATTCACATATATTAACTACGGAAAAACTAATTCCTATTTGTGAAAGACCCGTCAATTTTCAGGTTACCCGGAAGGCCCAAAACCCGAAAGACAAAGCCCAGACCCGCTGTAGCAGTAAGAGAGGGTTTAACACTCGACCATTGCCGTCGCCGCCCTTTCTTCCTCTCTCACTACACAGTACACACTAAAAATGCGTCGAATCACCACCCCATCAACAATCCGGACACTTCTCCGTCGCTGCATTTCTTCGTCGGCGACCAATCAAACGCACCACCTTCCTTGTTCCCAGATTTCCCTTTCCAAAACCCATTTTTTCACTTCACCACTTCCCCACTATGATTCATTTTCTTTTTCGCACTATTCTACCAGTTTCAGATCCTTTTCATCCCAATCCGGAAGGGATCAAGAAGAAACAACCGCTCAGTCTCTTTCATCTGAGCTTGTTAAGGAGCTCGATGCAGAATCTCTATCAATTCCACAAAGTCTCGATCTTTCTTTCTCCCATGTCAATTTGACGCCTTCCCTGATCCTTACCACACTCAATCTTTCCCCAGATGCAGGCCGGACAGTATTAGGGTTTTTCAAGTGGGTTAAGTCTAAGGAAAGTTTCAAGGTTGATGATGAGGTTGTGTCTTGCTTTGTGGATTATTTTGGAAGGAGAAAGGATTTTAAAGCTGCCCAGGATGTACTTATTGATGGGATAGGGTTAACGGGAAGGAAGACGTTAGAATCCATGGTTGATAGACTTGTTAGGGCTGGAAGACCCACTCAGACAGTAGCATTTTTTGAAAATATGGAGAAAGATTACGGTTTAGCGAGGGATTTAGATTCTTTGAAGTTGGTAGTTTCTAGGTTGTGTGAGCATGGATTTGCTAGCTATGCTGAGAAAATGGTTAAAAGTTTGGCTTGCGAATTCTTCCCGGACGAATATATATGCGATATGCTGGTAAGGGGTTGGTGTATTGATGGGAAACTTGATGAGGCACAGCGGTTAGCTGGGGAGATGTATAGGGGAGGGTTCGAAATTGGGGCTTCAGCTTATAATGCAATACTTGATTGTGTTTGTAAGCTGTGTAGGAAGAAGGATCCTTTCAGGCTTCAATCTGAGGCAGAAAATGTGTTGCTAGAAATGGAGGAGAAAGGCGTTCCTAGAGACGTCGAAACCTTTAATGTTTTGATTACTAACTTATGTAAGATTAGGAAAACAGAGGATGCTTTGAATCTGTTTTATAGGATGGGGGAGTGGGGTTGTAATCCCGATGAAACAACGTTTCTCACTCTTATTAGGAGCTTGTACCAGGCTGCTAGAGTTGGAGAAGGTGATGAAATGATTGATAGGATGAGATCTGCAGGATTTGGGGATGCGCTTGATAAGAAGGCCTATTATGAATTCTTGAAAATATTATGTGGGATTGAAAGATTGGATCATGCTATGAGTGTCTTTGCAAAGATGAAAGAGGATGGTTGCAAACCGGGGTTAAAGACATACGACTTGTTGATCGGAAAAATGGTTGCTCATAATCGGGTTGACAAAGCAAATGCACTATATAAGGAAGCCGAGAGCAATGATCTGGCAGTTGAACCAAAGGCCTATATGGTGCACCCAAAATATGCAAAGAAGAAATCCGCCCCTGCCAAGAAGGAGGAAAAGAAGAGGGAGACGTTTCCAGAGAAAATGGCTAGAAAGAGGACAAAACTAAAGAAAATTCGCCTTAGTTATGTGAAGAAACCTAAAAAGATGGCCCGACGAGCATTTTGATCCCTTCTGTATTGGATGATTTTGAGCGAGATTTTCCAATGGTATGTTGACATTATTTCCCCCTCATTTTGTTATGTCTTGACCATACTAGAAATAAAATTTTGGCTTACAACAATGCTCTCTACCTTATTTTTTTGACCTTTAAATTTGTAACTCATGAATGAATTTATATTTTTGTATCTCATGAATTGATTTAAAACTATAAATTCTGAATGTGTCTGTCTATTCTTGCTATAGTTGGTAATGATGCGTACAGAACAGACTTGCCATCATCTCTCCTATAGTAACATTCTTATATACTTTGGATGAACTTGAGTTGTATGGGTTCTCGTTTGACAGATAAATCTATATAACTTGTGACTAGATTAATTGACAGTCCTTGGTGTTGAATTCACTGTGCATTGTCTGTATATGCGCACGTGTATAGTATTGGTTTGTTTGAGTTGTGGATGCAAGAACAGTAGCACAGGAAGCTCAAAATGATTGTTGGACTCCTCACCCTCCGCTATGCCCTTTAGTCTTAAAGCTGACCATATCTTGTGCATTAAGTCTCTTCTCTATGCTGTCAATTAGAATAGTTAATTTACTCTCTGATGCAAAACTCAAATCCCAGATGTCCCTTGTGGTGCAAATGTTGTCCACTTCAGCTAGGTTGTGGTTGTGTGGAGTATGTACTGAACTTGGCTGTAATATTCTATGGTGTTTTTGTGATCGATAACTCGGTTTCTCAAATGAGGCTTGCCTAGTTTGTGCCCTTCTGCTAGAGGCAACATGCTATTGAAGCTGAGATACAAATGATTCATCTCAAACTGGATTTTGTGGTTTGTACTTTGTTCTACTATTCTTTATGGTCTTGCAAACAACTTATGGTAACAACCATAACACAAAAAATGGTGAGACTGTAAACTCACTTTTAACTCATTAATTTTTCAACCTATGATTGACCTAATCATATAGTATTACTCAAACATTATTTTTGAAGATTCTTGCGTCTCAGATTATGCCATGTGTCATGTCATTCAACAATTTTTTAAAATGTAATAGTACAAGTAGAAGAAAAATAAGCCAAAGTACTTGACCAAGTATGAATAATGATAATTGCCACGACTTTTAGCCAGAAAACAATACATTAAAAACCCACTGTATAAATTCTCTAGGAATATATACTAACACGGTATTCTCTAGATATACAAACAAATTTAAAGTATCTTCACAAACTACATCAATATCACAAATAATTTTCACATGTAAAAGAGGAGATAAAGTTTTCTCCATCCAATATGGAATAATGTACAAAAAATTGTGTCAAATATCTCTCTTTAAGTTACAAAAAAGGAAGAAGAAGATGTGCCTTATTTAAATGTAGATTAATTTATAACAAACCATAAGAGTTTGTTGAGAAGCCAATTCTTATACTAATTTTGCTACCATTTTTTTAACTTTTTTTTTGGAAGGTCAAAACCATTGTTATATGATGTAGCGCTATATATATTAGTCATTTCTAGATACATACAATCTTCAATTTGATCAGAATTCCTTATAAGAAACAAAATTGACGACCTCAAATAATTTTTTTTTTTCTAAAGTTCATTTATACTTTTTTTAATGAATAGTTTTTGCCTTTCTAAGCCCAGAAAAGTCACGTGGGCAAGTAAGTATGAAGAAGAAAGAAAATTTCAACAGTTAGCCATTTTTAGGGTGTGTATAACCCTAATTAAACCTATTTTGGATGCTAATTACTCATTAATATGTTTCCAACAAATTTTAAACATATGAAAAATAAATAATTCATACAAATAAAATATGAAGAAACGTGATTTTATTTGTCAAGATTGTGAATACAAATTTGTTCCTCCCTTGATTCTACTCTCTAAGATGATTTATCCATGATTCGAGGGCTGTTAGTGGCGTATTTCTCGAACTAGGATGATTTAGATTTGACCTCTCTATATAAATAATTCATCAATTTGTGAAGTATTTGAGATCTTGATCTATTTGTGGATTTTTCAAGATGTCTTTTAAGGGAATTTAGTACCCTTTATATAGGTATAAACTAGGATTAAGAATTGAGTAGCCTCCAAGAATCATTATCTAAATTAAACACAATATGTAAAATTCCAACTCGAATTGAACGCATATCGTAGAGTCTCCGAAAATTTCAATATCTACCCATAATATTGCATGTATAGGGGCAGCCATTTACCCTCTCTGAGACTCTGACTCTTAAGTTGTCACATTTCCAGAGGTTTTCATTTTTTAAAAATAATTTACCCTTAATTTCTTTTTAAAATTATTTACTTTTTAAAAAGAATTAATATTAAGAGCAAATGAGAAAAAGTTAAAATACTTCTATCTATATTTTGTAAATCAACAAGCATTTTGCCACATATATTTAGGACCCATTTGACCCCAAATATATTTGGGAAAAACTTTGAAAAATGGTATTTGTCCATGCAATTTGTCATTATTTAGTAAATATTTTTATCAAATATTCCAAGTTTTCAAATACTAGGAAAAATAAGTATTTAGGTCAAATTCTAACATTTGGAAATTTTAAAAATTTAAAAGTTACCTCAAAACTCTTACATTTTATAAAAATTAATCATCATTTATTAATTCCAATTAATATTTATCTATCAAATTACTTCACTGATAATTATCTATCTTTGTTATTTATATCGAACGTGTCGAAAAAATAATTATTATTTTTAATGCATTATAATTCATGTTGAATCAGTGACAATTTCGAATTTGCGATTGAAGTATTGCCTTTGCCCCTATTATTATTATTTTGTTGTGGTTAATTATCATCAAATATGTTATAAGGTTATTTATTAACATAACATATTTATCATAAAATGACAATTAAACCTAAAGGTATTTTTCATAATTTTTAGACTTATATGTATAGGTCATATTTCTAAAATATAGTTAATTATTTACCCAAAATTTATGATCAAACACGTAATAATACTTTGTTCAAATCTTCACATAAAAATGATAGCCATGAAAATATTTGAGAATTTAGGGTCCAACAACCATTAATATGGGATGGAAAGAGTAATATATAAAATTTATTCATGAATTTTTTTTTATTATTAATTCTTCCGTTTCACAAAGAATGAAATTGATTTAACTTGACACAAAATTTAAAAATATAAAGAAGACTTTTGAATCTAATGGTCCTAAATTAAAATTAGGTCAAATCCATAAAATTACCCTTTAATCTTGTGTCCTTAAAGATGTTCACGTGAAAAATTAAAATTAAAATATTATTAAAAAAAATTATTCTTTTTTTTAAAAAATAAAAAATAAAATGAGCTATTTTTTTTTAACAAAGGGAGTAATTAATATGAATTACAAGACATGCGCGTGAAGCACTAAAGAAAAACAATTCTTATTTTCAGTATTTTTATGCGCGTGAAGCACTAAAAAAAACATTCTTTATTAAATATATTTAATATTTTTATTAAGATTTGACTTTATATCACCTATTTTATTGAACAAAATGAGATTTTAAATTGATACTAGCTAAATTTAATAAGTAGGACATTTATTACTTTTACTAAATGGAAAACGCTGAAAATTGCCTTGGAAACTACCATATATACTTGGGGCTCGTTTGATTCAAGAATTAATAAATTGCTTCAAAATTGGTATTTTCATTTTTAGTATAAAAGAAAATATATATATTATTCTCGAGATAAGTTATCACGTAATTCTTTTAGCAACTAAAGAAAGGATAAGCTAAAATTCTAAAATTAATTATTCTTTTATCTAACGTAACTCGTTTTTGACTAAAATTGTGCAGATATTAATAATATAAAGATTAATAAAGAGCGAATCTATGTATTATTTTTTTCGTTAGTAGTTATTTACATTCTATCCGATATAAAATAACACATAAACACTCTCACAATTCAATCAAGAATAGTTACGCGAGTTTTGAAATTGTCAAATAACAATACGTGAAAATTAATACTATATGAATAACTTATTTCTTATTAAAAAGGAAGCTTATTGACCATCCGGTGACAGTTGGCTCTGTAAAGTCTGTTTCACCCCTCCCTCCCCTTTCCCCATTTGAAAAACATTTAGTAGTCTTATATGTAAGAAAAACATCACAAATAAGGTAAACTCTTCTTTGTCACAACACATTCTAAAATTCCTTTTTTTTTTCTATGTCCATTCCCAATACAACACAAAAAAGTACTATTCCTCACCCTTCCCAAGTTTTTCAAAAAAAAAAACACATTTTTTTTTGAAATTTATTTACTCATCAATGGAGGTGTGTCTCTGTTCCATCTCAAGATCATCAATCAATAAATTTGGAAGTTATGCAATTTTGATAGCCTTGTTGTTTTCTCTTATGTGCTATACATCTACAGGTGATTTTTTTAATTTTTTTTCAGTTTTGTGGTCGTCTCTTTTACTATTATCTAGCTACTCAAGTGTTACCTTTTTAAAAAATGTAATCTTTTTTTGTTGTTATCTTTCAATTTTGATATAGCTGATTTAATTTGGACATAGAAATGTATATTTTGGGGTTTGATTCAAAATGTAACATTGTTAATAGAACTGTTCCATTGGAAAAAAACAGAGTCAAGATTACATAAAGGGATTATATTATAATAATCTTGAAAAAACTAGTTTTTTTTTTTTTTTGGGTATGGTTTGATTAAATTTTTGGTCAAAGATAGTTTGGATTTTCGAGTTTTTGAGTGTGGTTTCTTTATAATGTGCTAACATTTTGACCATTTTATAAAAGGCTTTTTTTTTTCTCCCTTTTTTGCTCTTTTGTGGTTTATCCTTCATTTTATCCTGAGTTTGTCTATGATTTCGATTTCGATGTGTTTAAATTGTTGTTGGTCAGGCTGATAAGTTGTTAGTTCAGATTACTCATTGTTGTTGGCTCAGTCATAAGGACGAGTACTAAGAATTTTATTTGTCTCTAGGAAGAACACATTTTGGTATACGAGAGATTAAATTGCTACTACTAGTCTACTACTATTACTTATTGTTTCGAGCTAAGTAGTTTACTGTTTGCTGCAATATTATTGCAGATGCTTATGATACACTTGATCCCAATGGAAATATTACTGTCAAATGGGATATTAAGTCTTGGACTACAGATGGATATATGGTGAGTGTATTTGCTCTTATTAATACTAATGAAATGTTCTTTCAGTTTGCATCATTTCTTAATCTATTTGAATTAGTGTAAAGTGGAAGTTCAATAATGTTTTTTGGGTAGGAATATTACTTGTTACTTAATATAACAATCATAGTTTGTAATGAAGTTTATCACAGTTGTGTTTGACCAAAAAAGGATTTTGTTTTTTTCCTTTGGATGAAGCAGGCTATTGTAACAATATATAACTTCCAAATGTATCGTCATATTGAAGCACCGGGATGGCAACTAGGTTGGACATGGACAAAAAAAGAAATAATTTGGAGTGCAGTTGGAGGTCAAGCCACAGAGGAAGGAGATTGTTCGAAATTCAAAGAAAATATCCCTCATTGCTGCAAAAGAGACCCATCCATTGTAGACTTGTTACCAGGAACTCCATATAACCAGCAAATTTCAAATTGCTGCAGAGGCGGAGTAATTAGCTCGTGGGTTCAAGACCCAGAGAACGCTGTTAGCGCATTCCAATTAACTGTCGGTCTAGCAGGAACAAGTAACAAGACAGTAAGGTTGCCAAAAAACTTCACTCTACAAACACCGGGACATGGATATACATGTGGACCTGCAGTGAAGGGGAAACCAACCAAGTTTCTAACACCAGATGGAAGGAGGTTCACTCAAGCGTTGAGTAAGTTATGTTCGTTTACTTTTTCAAGACACTAGTGACATGACACATCCGCAAATGATGCATACCTCTTTGATCATGAAATTTTCTGAGTCTATACTAGTAAAGTTAAAGGTGTAATCATATTAATTGTATCTTTTTCCTTGCAGTGACATGGAATGTTATTTGCACGTATTCACAGTTTTTAGCTCAGAGGACACCGACTTGTTGTGTCTCACTGTCCTCTTTCTACAACAACACAATTATAAACTGTCCCACTTGCACGTGTGGTTGTCAAAATAACATTACACAACCGGGAACATGCGTAGAGTGAGCAGACGCTATCTTTAATCGCATAGTCTCCCTTTCTTTTTTGTTTAAGTTTCCAAAAGTTCTTAATATTCATTTGATACTTTTGTATGTTCTCTGACAGGCCGGACTCTCCTTATTTAGCCTCAACACTTCTAAGTTCCGGAAAAGATGATGACAGTCCTGTGGTCCGATGTACTAAACATATGTGTCCGATCAGAGTTCATTGGCATATTAAATCCAATTATAAAGCTTACTGGAGGGTAAAGATTACAATCACAAATTTTAACTACAAAATGAACTATTCCCAGTGGAATCTTGTTGTTCAACACCCCAACTTTGAGAACCTCACCCAGATATTCAGCTTTAATTATGAGCCACTGCTCCCCTATGGTTCCATTAGTGAGTACTCTTTTCCCTTGACAACGAAATACAACTTACGTATACATTTTAGCTGTCTAACTGATTTCATCTTCTTCAGATGATACTGCTATGTTTTGGGGAATCCAATATTACAATGATCAACTAATGCAGGCTGGACCTTCTGGAAATGTGCAATCAGAGATCATATTTCAGAAAGATAAATCGAAGTTTACCTTTGAAAAGGGATGGGCTTTCCCTCGAAAGGTTTACTTTAATGGCGATAACTGTGTTATGCCACCTCCGGATGCTTATCCATACCTGCCAAATGCTAGTGCCTACAGTAGGCTTACTCTACTGCACTCTTTAGCTGGATTTTTGGCATCTCTTGTTCTACTATATTCACATAACTTGTAAAGCTAAAAGAAAGAAATACATTTGAAGAGTTTAATTGCTTCCAATGAAGAGAATTTTCCGGACCTTGTTTATATCAACATTGAATATCTTCAGTAAAATATAAAAGCATAACTTCGGCAACATCACCCTGAGGTTCCAAAATGTGAAGGTTTACTTGTGATTTTGTAGATGTAACCATTGACTTGGTGTGTTCCAGTTCGATTGCTCGAGGTTCAATATATACATTGTACTGGTGTGTTGGTGCACTAGACTGAGAATTTTGATGTACTCTATTGAGTATTCTTCAGAGAACTTCTTATATATGAAAACAAAAATCTTATATATAAGGAAAATTTTATCTCTAGTTATACAATAAAATGAACAAGTTTCCATTTCACTATTCTCTCTGCATGCATACAATATATAACAACCTAAGCAAACTCTTGTTGATGGAAGACAATCTAAATGTCATCAGAAGCACCAGTAGAATATATGTTGCTGCCATCAAATGGTTTTATCCATTACCAAGTGAGGAAAATCATCAAAATAGTGCAAATTGCAGTGTTTGAAAATGAAAATGGTCCTTTTTCAGCAGAGTTGGGTAAAATTGGGTATGAATCTGGTGGTGGAAGTTTGCATTCATCTCCATTAAAGTAGACTCTCCGGGGAAATCCCCATCCTGACTTCAGTGTGAATGTATTCTTATCCTTTTGCATAAGCACCTCAGACTGAACGTTCCCCGAAGGTCCAGCTTCCATCAAGAGATCATTGTAAAATTTCATACCATAGAACATGCCAGTGTCATCTGTGTAGAAACAAATGATTGTTAAGTTCCGTTCAAGCTTGAGAAAGAAATTAAATTCACTTTAGTATGCACTCACTAATGGATTGGTAGGGCACGAGAGGCTTGTAGTCGAAGCTGAAAACTTGAGTGACATTGTTGAGATTGGGATGTTGTGCCACAAGTGTCCAATGTGTATGGTTCTGCCTGTAATTGAAGTTAGTGATAGCAATTTTGACTCGCCAATAATCCTTGTAATTGAGCTTTACATGCCAATGCACACGTATTGGGCACATGTGATGGGTGCATTGCAGTAGTGGTTCATTATTCTTTCTTGGAGTGTTAATTCCCTTTCTTTTCAGTTTTTCGGAGTCTCCCCTGCATCATCAAAATGCACAGTAGACTAATTAGAAAACGTTGATGGAAAGTCTCAACGTATGCAAAGGATACCTACATGATGCAGTTGTGTTTATGGTTGCAACCACAAGCACAAGACGGGCAAGGAGTGATGGTGTCGTTGTAGAAAGTTGAGAAAGAAACACAACAACTCGGGTACTTCGATGACAGAAACTGTGAATAGGTGCATGTCACATTCCATGTCACTGCAAGTAGATATTACATCAACCTGATAAAAATACCGATGAACAGAGGAAAAAACAAAAGCATAAAAAGGTTAACTTACTCAATGCTTGAGTTTTTCGCCTATGATCTGCAGTGAGGAAAACTGTGGATGGAACTATCTTTGCAGGGCCACAAGTGTAGCCTGGTCCTGGACCAAGCAGAGTGAAATTCTTCGGTAGTTTTACTGTCTTGTTTGATGTTCCAGCAAGTCCAACACTAATCTGAAAGGAAGATACCGACTCAGAAGGATCTTCGCCCCAAGACGCGAGAACACCACCTTTACAGCAGTTGCTGAACTGTTGGTTGTAAGGAACTCCAGGAAGCAAGTCCACAAGTACAGGATCCCTCTTGCAGCAATGTGGTACATTTCCTTTAAACTTAGAACAATCACCTTGCTCTGTTGTTTGTGATCCCACAATGGACCATATCACTTCTTTCTTTGGCCAGTTCCATCCTAAAGTCCATCCAGGGCTCATAATATGCCGATACATTTGAAAATTATTCATCGTTACAACAGCCTGGATAAATATTTCAGGTTGTTACTACTCATATAATCATTTGCCCCAATCAGTATTATTAAGATACTTACCACATAGCCATCTGGTGTCCAAGACATGACATCCCATTTTATTGTGATATTACCAAATGGATCCAATGGATCAAAAGCATCTGAAGATCCAAAAGGAAGAGAAAAATAATATATAGTGGGAACACAAAAAGATAAAAATTCTTATCTATAAGCATGTACTTTACCTGCATGAGGCAAAACAGAAGACAAGACGACTGCGAAAAAAGTTAACTTTGCTAGAGGAAATAAGAGTTTGTTTAAGGATAATTTTTTGTGAAACATCCTTAGTATAGTATATCTGATGTTTAAGGATCTTATGTTTTTTTTCTTCTAAAAGAATGAACTTATGAGTATTAAAAGAGAGGGAATTTTAGCTGATCATGATGATGCCACACCTAATGGTTGTTGGGTGCTTTATGCCATAATATTATTTTTTCACTTCCACTCTATAATTCTCTCTCACCTATTTTGGTACCTTTCAAAGGGCCATCAAGTTGAGAAAGGGGAAGAGAAATGGGACATTTAAACACAATAGCTAAGCAGTCTTTTCCTAGGTGGGATATATTATCAGTTCTGATTAGTGAGTTCACTCTAGGCAAAACTGTCCCTTTGCAGTACATTTTAAGTCATAATTGTTCTTGATTATATATAGCAAAAATTTCAAACCTACTAGCTCTAACAGTGAAAAAAAACCTAACTTGATGGGAATATTAAGCAGTCATTATCGATAACAGTGGTTAAACTATGTCTTCCTTTTAACTTATTTTTTGAGATCATTTCTTGTACTGCATTGTTAATAGCAGGGTAATTGTGTTTCAAGTGAGCTTTTAACATTGTTAAATAAGTGAACAAAGGATGTGCTAACAATTTGAATGACACCGACTCACCATCTTCAGAGTTGTGCTTCTTTAAACTGATTTGCTCTAACAGAACCAATTCAGGACTAGTTTATCGAGTTGAAGTCAGAGCAGGTTGATCAACGTTTTATAGCACTCATTGAATATCTATAAGAAAATTGGAGTGTGCTCTGGATAAGAACCTTATTTTTCATAAAAGACTTGACTAGTTTTAGATATAGTCAAGTGCATTGTAATACTTTTTGTTCTTGAATAGTGAATACTTATCACTAGTTACAACCATCAGCTAGGAAAACCAAGAGAAACAGAACAACCAGAGTTGGACAATGCTCTTTATTTGGCGCCGGCAGAATTTGGAAGATATGGGCAAGATTCAGGAGATGGCATCACACAAGGATTGCCGTTGAAGTAGACCCTTCGAGGGAAAGCCCAACCTTTCTTCAGTGCAAGTGTTTTTCTGTCCTTCTCAAGTGTTAAATCTGAGTGGACATTTCCTTTTGGTCCAGCTTGCATCAGGACATCATTATATGCCTTTCTCCCATAAAACAAGGCTGTATCATCTGCATTATTAAAATATCATCAGCCTGGTGAACGGTGAAATGATCGAGTATATGTCTGTTCTGTTAATGAATCAAATAAAGGGACTTGGAGCTTACTGGTTGATAAATTGGGCATGAGAGGCTTGTATACAAAGCTGGAAACTTTAGTTGCTTTGTTGAGGTTTGGATGTTGAACGACGAGTGTCCAATGTGTATAGTTGAATCGGTAGTTGAAGTTTGTGATGGTCATCTTCACATTCCAATACTTGTTGTAGTTTGATTTAACATGCCAATGCACGTTGACAGGGCACATGTGTTTTGTGCATTGCAGCACTGGCTTATTTACTCCTTTCCTGCGATTACACTTCTCAGTTATGATCTGTTGAAGGAGAATTGTTCAAAGGTTTTATAGCTATAATCTTACATGACACAGTTGCTACTTTTACGGCAGCCACAAGAACACGAAGGACAAGGGGTGACACTTGCATTGTGAAAAGAAGACAAGGAGACACAACATGTCGGTTTGGGGGATGCTATGAACTGAGAGTAAGTGCAAACCACTCTCCATGTCACTGCATATTAAGCAGAAAGATTTCAGGCTTATGAAAACAGTATTTACTTTCAATGTATGGTTTAAAAGACTTACTCATAGCCTGTGTTATTCTTCGACCGTCAGGTGTTATGAAACGAGTGGGACGGATGATTTTAGCAGGACCACAAGTATAGCCACCACCTGGAGCAACAAAAGTGAAATTTTTAGGAAGTTTCACTGTCCTGTTTGTAGTCCCAGCAGCGCCTACGGCTATCTGAAATGCAGAAAGAGCAGCAGAAGAGTCCTTTCCCATCGATGCTATAACGCCGCCTTTACAGCAGTTAGCAATTTGCTGGTTATAAGGGGTATTTGGCAGCAAGTCAACAATTGCAGGCTTTTTCTCACAGCTGTGAGGAATGTTGCCTCTGAACTTTGAACAATCCCCTTGATCTGTAGCTTGTGCTCCCATCATGGCCCAAATCACCTCATTCTTTGCCCATGTCCATCCTAAAGTCCATCCAGGGCTCACAATTGGACGATACATTTGGAAATTGTTCATTGTCACTACTGCCTGAAATTCGAAAAATTCATCAACTTTAAAATCTCAAACTAGTAATAATAGTTCCAAGTTATACTTACCACATAACCATCAGGGGTCCAAGATATCACATCCCATTTGATTGTTATATTTCCATTTGGATCCAATGCGTCATATGCAGCTGTAATTCGAATTTTTTTTAAAAAAAATCAATTTTAAAAAAAATATGAATGCAATAGAAGGTCTAAACATCTCCATTTCAACAATATAATGAATTACCTGAACGAGAACATAGCACAAAAAACAGAAACACTATGGTATATGAGTTCAAGGACATGTTGGATAGTGTAATAGAAATTATGTTAAGCTTCTCTATAATATCTATCGGTCTTCACAACAGAATATCTCGTTACATCAATATATTTTCCCTAGTTTGAGATGCAATTGCTCATATCTATGTCATTGTATCTATTTAAAAATACTACTAATAATAAATAATAACAAAAAAAAAATAGAAAGTAGAAAATGCAGAAGTATGGAATAAAGAAATCATTGAGGCAGCTTCCTAGAGAAATACTCTGCATGCAATTGTCAAACAACTATTAAAGAGTTGACTTTGACTTGCAGCGAAGACTTTAGACTTTTTGTATTCTCTTCGTTCCTATTTAGTTGTTTGGAAAAAACTTTACACCGCTCTAATAACAAAATTAAGTAATATATATATCTTACATGACAACTAAATTGGAATGGAGAAAGTATACATGTCTTAAAAGAAATTATTTTTTCAGTTTGTTTATCATACTTTTTTTAGATCTATTTTAAAAGAATGCGTCTTTTTTTCTTGACAGTATTGTACTTTCAACTTTTCATATGACATGTTTAAAATTGAAATTTTGATATATTTTACATATCTTTAATTTAAGATCACGGGATTTAAAGGTATTCATTGTTTTCATAAATTTCGTACTAAATTAATACAACACAAACAAAATGCTCCCTTCGTCCAACAATACTTGTTCACTATACTAAAAATAGATTTCTAATAATACTTGTCTAATTTATAAAATTTATAATAATTTTACACTTTATTTCTAATTTATCCTTATTCCTATAACATTTTTCAAAACATTGTATTAATTATATTCAGAAAATGATAAAGTAAAATTATCATTCTGTTGGCTTGAAAAAAAGAGTAAAATGGAGTCAGTAATAATGCTCATTACGTTGTTCAATTGAACTACACCGAATTGGTCTTTTTATTTTTCTTTAGAAAAAGTCTCGTAAAAGGATCAAACTTTATAATATTTTGAACAGTTAAAAAACTAAATTCGATAAACTATATAGCTAAGGAATTATTTTATATCTATTTTAATAGTTTAGGAACTATTTATGACATTTCTTCATAATAAACTCCTATAACTCATAATAGAAGTCAAAGACATTTCACTTGAACAATTCCAAGAGCCAGCAAGTGTTGAGAAGATGAAGAGATCAGGCTTGAAGAGCTAATAATTAGAGGATAAAGTAAGCTATAATTTGAAGATCATCAAAGTTTGTCACAAATCCTTCATACATAATAAATTGTTAATTTAATTCTAGAGAGCAAACCATCAGACTATGTAGTACTTCATTCATTCTAATTTATGTGACACTATTTGACTTGATATAAAATTTAAAAGATAATTAATAATTGAGACCTCATTAATTTAAATTCAGATGTAAAAATAACACACTTCATCGGATGATTATTTAGTGCTCGTTTGGATATAGAATTGTTACAATATTCGAATTTGAAAATTTTCAAAACCAAAATCACATACAAAATTTAAAGGCAATTCAAATTGGTTTCATATCTAAACATGACTTTAATTTTTAAATCTCATTTTCAACTTGCAAATAAATATTAATATTTAAAAGAAATTTCACAATTTTATATGCAAAACCCTACTAAAATTCAAATATATTAATAAAAATCTAAGATATTTTTTCTATACTAACACACAAAAGATATTCCAAAATTATTTGAAAAACAAAACTCCTTCCAAATGACTATATGAATCCTGCGGTGAGCTTTCGATATTTTGATCGGGAATCACAGAGTTCAATTGTTTGATGATTGGTAGTAGATATCAAATATCAAAATTTTAAATTCTAATTTCGATAATTGATAAATTAAACTTCAATTTAATATGGTATTCGATAATATCGTATTGGAATTGTAGTCGATTGTATTACAAAATTAACACTATTTCTTCAATCAATTCTATTTTTTTACGTGGAGACAAAATATAATAAAAGATCAACAAGTAAGAAGACATCAAGAAAAATAAATTGATATAACTAAAAGACATATATTTAAGTTGTTAATGTTTATTCTTTAACTTTCTCTTTAGATTCATACTGATGAGTAATGGACATGTTAATATACGATCTTCAAAGTAAATAATTCGATATTTAGGAAATATAGGATACCAAATAGTACTAATATTCCATACCTTAATTAAATTCGAATACCATAATTTTAAAATTTTATTCTTGAATATCATACCAAATATATAAAAACTTTGATTTGTTTCAATAATTTAATTTTCGGAAAAAGGTCAAAATTACCTCTGAACTATGTGAAATAAACTACTTGTACCCTTCGTTACATTTTGGAATAAAAAATGCTCCTATTGTTATCCTAAGAGATTTATTTTTATTGACTTGATAAGCCACGTGAGATCAATCCTTCCATCTAAATATTGTCAATTAAGATTTATTATAAAAAAACTAAACTTTTAACGGTGATAATAATCGATACAAAAGCCCAAAAAAATCATCATACTATTCGAAGATTGAGGAACTCAATTATTCAATAAGCGCTAATAAAGGAGACGGTCCCCAATGTCGAAACAAAAAAGGTACAAGGTCAAAATAGTCCAATTGCATACGAATGTAAAAAAGTACAAGGTCAAAATAGTCCAATTGCCAATCAATGGCTACAACAAAATATGGGCCCACCGAAGAGGCCACACAGTGTAAACTTTTTCTACTGATGATTCCACTTTTAGTCTTCCTACGGGTCTTCTGAATCACCCTCTCTTCCGATGAAAACGCGGCATCTATCTTATCTCATTTTATGTGACTTATTTTTTTTAATCCGTTTCAAAAAAAATTATATGTAATTTAATTTTGATATGTTCATTTTCACTTTAATAAAATGATTTATAACTATACAAGTTTTTGTCTTTGATTTTAAACGATAAGTTTCAAAATTCTTTCTTTTAACAGCTTATAGAAACTTGCAAAGCGATCTTTTGCATATTTAGTAGGCGTTTGATCCTGCGATACCATCACTATATGAAATCGTGAGATAGAATTAGCGTTTGGAAAAGCAATTTTACGTTGATTCTGTCTCATGATATCATATCATGATATGTGTTTCCATATTCTCCAAATCTCATGATATAATTCGAAAATTGATCAACATGTTTATATTTGTTAAAACAACATTACATTTAGACGTACTAACCATTTATGTCATATGTAAATGGAATTTATAATCATATTATTACTTTTTAAAATTTATTATTCACACCGATATAAAATTTATCGTTTTCACCAATATATAGTCACTTTAACTCACACTAATTAATTGTTGAGTAATAAATATGTTCTTTTCATTTACTCCAACACCTAATTTATTACTTCTACCATGATTGGAAAATACATGTTCAACGTGAAAAAATTGTTCATATTATGTGAGAGAATTATATTAAAGACTAGAGTACTATAATTTATGTTTAATTTTTTTTATTGAGTTAAAGTTTGATAAATCAAAATTATATGAAATAATTATTTAAGTGAAGAACAAATAACTTTATAATAATTTATCATGCAATTTTATAATTTTATATAAGATTGAATAAATAATTAGGACTATTTCTGTAGTATTACATCTTATGAAATTTTTATGTTTATTAGAAAATATACCAACACAAAAATTTCATATCGCATATCCAAATAAAATTTTAATTTTATCTCATTATTTTATATTATGATATCATTTCATATCATATCATAATACCATATCTCATAACCAAAACGACACTTTCCCTTTCGTATCCCAAGAGGAGAATATTACTATTGCTGGTCAAACTCTCACATTTTGATTACTGAGTATCTATTTTTCTTAGAGAAGGAAACATGTGTTTGCTGAAGAGGTCTTAACAATACACGGAAAATTAATTTTATAAGCCAGTTATTGTTCAATTGAAAATTAAAAAGAAAAAAATACTTATTGTAAAGTGTTTTCCTAGTCAATTTAATTAGATGATATGTTTATTTGAGATTGAGAGGTCTGAACAAAAAGATCATGATAGACGTCTGATTTAGCTGCATCAATCCATCCATGTTTCAAGGAGGATAGTTCAGATCTCAACAGCGTAAATATTTTGAAACTTCACGTCAGATTTACCTGATGATAGCAGTAGTGAATTCAGAATTTTCAATTAAAGAATTCAAAATTTATGTAAATAGACTCATAAAGAGGAATATAATTTTCCGCCGCTATAAGGTGGCTGTGCCCCTGATCGATCGATAGCATTCGAAAAGGGAGAGAATACCGAAAAACCATAGGAATGGGTGGAATTGGAAAGCTAATCACAAGAGAAGAAAAAGAAAAGCTTTCCAACTCACCAATCCCCATAGATTTTCGAAAAACTCATCTCCAATTTCAGATCTGCTAAACTGAACCTAATTTGTGTATGTGAATTACAAAAAAGAGACCTTTTATAAGAAAAAAAAAACATGAAAAAAGTGTGGTGCGGCAGAAAGAGGTAGGAAGATGAGTTGTTATTAGGCTGGACCACTCCACATCACATATGGATAGCCATTGAGGGGACCTTCTTGCAATAAAAGTTACTCCGTACTTTTTTATAATTGATTGATCTTTTTGTAATTATGGAATGATATTTGAGTGTTTTAGATCATAATTTTAAGGTTTAAGTAGCTCTTAAAGTTATTAACATAATTTACTTAGACGCTCAATTAAATCTTATACCTATTAATACCTCTAACATCTTGAATTCGAACCATTTGAACATTTTTTAAAAAAAAATAAACTAAAAATAGTGGGTGTGTAAAATACAATCGCGCTGACATGTCAATTTGATCAATTAAATAATGACATGTGTTATTTTTTAATCCAAAGTTATTTTAAACATTATATTATAAAGTAAAAAAAAAAATATTTTAAAGTAAAAAAGATGAAAAGAAAAACTTAAACTTAAATCACCTACTTCCCCTGCCTTTCACTGAAACCCAAAACATACATTTTCCTCTAACCCCTTTAACCCCTTTAATGGTGACCCTTCCTCTCTCTGCACAATGTTATCTTCTATCCGACAATTTTTTCTTTTTATTAGTTTTTTATTAATTATAACTTTTTACTTTATCTCGTTTTTTAGGTAGAGAAAGATGAGGGAAAAAATCTCTCCAAAAAATTTATAAATTTCATTTGTATTTGTAGAAAAAAATAGAATTATTTTGATCTTTTTATGTTTCATAATCAATTAACTTTTTTGGATGAAGAAAACATCCTTACATTAGGCCAATATACATCAATTTAAAGTCAAAACAACACATTCACAATAAATCAAATAACTTCAATAAAAATTTGAGCAAAGTTAATAATTGATAGAAAAATCCTCCAATAAATTCAAACAACTGGACATCAATTTAACACTAAATTACTAAATTAACAGCAAAGATACAAACTCCAAATTTTAAGTCTTTATAAATTAAACATGAATGAAAATGACGATAGTAATGGTAGAATGATGGTTTCAATGGTGGTGCAATCAATCCTAATACGAATGGCAATGGGGCCAAAAATATAACAATAATTGTGCTAAAAAAAAGTTAAGTATCCGGAGAAAATAAGAGGAAGAGATAGTAGGAAGGAGTGCCAAAAAAGATGAAGAAATATTAGGTTTTTTTCAAAAAAAAAAAAAAGGTCCAATTTAATACCTTCACGCGCCTAAAGGGTGTGGATTACAACAATGTGTCAGATACAAAAAATGTTCAAATTTGAAATGGTTGAAGTGTTTAATAGGTACAAGCTTTAGTTGAGATGTCTAAGTGAATTGTGTGAACAACTTTAAAGGACCTCACATGACTTAAGCCTAATTTTAAATTAACGATATCATGTAAAATAGGACGGGAGTACATATTTTACTCAATTATCAGAGATTACTATAAATTGTAATCAAACATGATACTTGATGTGCTAAATCTTATAAATAGTAATTAAAATATTATTAAACACAATAGTATCAATATTTTATCTGTTCATTTTTATTTGTCATATTATATTTTTTGAAAGTCAATTTGATTAATTTTTAAAGTTAAATTAGATTACTTTAATTTGATATTTTAAATTAAAAATTTAAATATTTTAAAAACTATACAAAAAATACTATAAATAGTAATTATTTTTCACATATTAATATGATAAAAAAAATGTATTATAAAATATTGATCAATTTTTTTATAATTTTACTTAATTTTTTTTAAAAAAAAAATGGACAGAGATAGTAATTCACTATCTAATCAGCTACTATTAAATAACCCCGAGTGCATTCTCATACGCCTATTCGTGCCTTGAGTAATACTCTGGTCCCCTTTTACTAACTATGGAAAATTAGTTAGGGTTCGATCATATTTTGTCATCAAATTTTTTTTTAAAAAAAATTATTTTTAAAATGAAAAATAGTATTTGAGAATTGAAGTAGAGTTTGATTATGAATACAAATTGAAGCTTCTTTTGACTTTTTCTGTGAGTAATTTAAAGTGAAAAAATATTTTCAAATTCTTAAAAAATTTGATTTTAATTATAGTTAACGTCAAAAACACACCATAATCTTATATATATATATATATATATATATATATATATATATATATATATATATCAGATTTTGATTAAGCACATGTATAAGAATATCCTCAGAATATTCGTCTACTGAATGTAACGTGGGACTCATGTTAGGGCAGACTCAAGGTAATCGGGGGCTTAAAGTGCGGCTTAAAATATAAATAAACTGTATATATATACATATTCCCACAAGCAAATTGGAATTAAGCAAATATAATTGTTGACTTGATATGCACAAAATTCAATAAAAAAAATCTTTTTGTCTTGGAACCCTTTTAAACTTATTATACTGAACATATTTATCATAACTACAACATGTTAATAAAGGCAAATTATTTAAAACGAGAGCAAATAATAAATAATATTAAAAGATGAAAGTATATAACCCAATACAATTACAAGAAATGTGAGCTTTAGTTATTCACTCAAGCGTCCTCCAAATGTCTTCAAAGTGTTTCATAAACTAAAGTTACAATATAAACATTTATGCCTTTATATATATTGTTACATAAAACAACATATAATTATCATAAACTAACATATTTAACCATTATATCATATGAATGACGTTGTTAAAAAATATCCTTTAAACTTATGATTTTAAGTCTGTCATAATGACATCTCTTTCATAACTATAACATGTTATTAAGGGTACATACAAATTGGAAGAGTTAATTTTTAAAAAAATTTCTTTTCTTTAATACAATAACAAGTCATTTAGATCAACAATTTACATTGAATCCGAATAGTTATTTCTATAAAAATCTCAATGAATAATAGATAACAGCGAGAGAAAAAGGATAAAAGCCCAAAAACCCATAGGAATGGGTGGAATTGGTAAGCTAAGGGAACACACATATAAAAAAAGAAAAGCTTACCGACCCACCCATTCCCAAAAGTTTTTGTTGGGCTCAACTCCCATTTCAGTTTAGCTGTGGAAGCCTTTATTAAGTTGTAACATTTTTTGTATGGCATTTAGGAAGAGTCATGTTTGATAAGGGACTTGGCTACCTACTTATGTATATAATATATATATATATATATAGTGTATACTGTATAGTTGATAAGGTTGACATTTTTTCATTAAATTTTGAGATAAAGCTTGGTTTTTTGTTTGTTAGTGTTGAGGTTTTGATTTTTGTTACACTAATTAGAATCTTCGACCAAGACAAAATGTTCTATTTCTAATAGATATAAAAAAATTGTTTTGAATTTCTTTATCTTATTTAATTATATTGCAAGTTATTTTTGGGACAAAAGTATTTATTGACGGAGAAGAATTTTTTAATATTTATAATTGCTATAGATTTTAATTTTCATAGTTCGCTTCAACTATTCAATTTTGTATAATTGTATAAATTCATTTATACAATTATAATTTGTATAATAAGATCTGTATCTGTATAATTATAAGTATAGAAGATGAAAATATATTTATTTGTATCTATCGCTTTATACAAACACAAACACATTTTATATTGATATATATAAAATGACTAATTGTATATCGAAAATAGTTAATTGTATATCGAATCAGATAAAAAAACAAGGAGATGTTTGTTGTGAACTACAATTAAATAAACTATAACTATAGTATTTAATTTAAATTCATTTTTATCCAAACAAATTTAAATTGAATTTTAATTCAATTGTGTTATATTAATTCATTATAACCCGCCTAAATTTTAGGGAACCTGCTTTACTCAAGTGGAGTGAGCTGATTTTACTTGGGACTCTAACACTCCAACCCCATTCATTACAAGTCAGCTCCTTTTGTTTTCTTGTCAACAAACAAGTCATCTGGTCTTTCTGGCGTCTGGTGGCGGTGCCTTGGATCTACTACTTCCTCCGTTCGTTTAGTCTATTTTTTTTTTTACAAAAAAGAAAATTACAAAAGTTTTTATCTTATTTAAAACACATTCATCTTAAATTAAAATAATTTTTATAATATTTTATATTTATAATATAAGAAAAAGGGTTCCAAACACTTGTTTTTAAGCCAAAAGTCTCTTAAAATTTGTTTGGTGGAAATTGGAAAATCAGTAGGGAAATGGATTGTTAGGCCACCGCTTGGATTGTCGGTCTCAAGTGCATGCAATGGAGACCTTCCCCAATTCGAATAAGCCAATAAAAAGACATGCCATAATATAATACAGCTATCCATATAATATCTTTAATCTTGATATAATATAGGAATGAGTGTTTTTTACCTATCAAATTGACTTAATTCAGTGTAAAGATCAATAGCTGTTGCAGACTCTGAAAACTCACGGACACCATTTGATTTCAAAGTCCGTGTCCAAGCTCGATAAATTCGCCTATGTTCTCAGTGTTATTTATGGAACAATTAAAAAGTCATACTACCTTTTCATAATTTAATTGTTAAGATAAGACACCTGAATCTAACTCAACTCAAAAGGGAAAGGTTTGTTCAAGTCCAAGATCAAATTCCCATCCAAAAGAAAGCATGAACAACAACTTGGGATGGGCCTCGCTCCGATATCATGTTAAGATATTATATCTAGGCCTAACTCATTCCGAAAAATTTGCTTATGAGGGGAGGTTTGTCCAAATCCATATAAGACGGACTAAATTTCCAGTCACTACAACCTCTGTTGTTCGGGTGAGCATTCTGTTATGAGCACTTTGTGCACATTGGACAAACCCCACTGTCACTGTGATAGCCTGCAAACCACACAGAATATGATAACAGACATTTAACACAACGATGCTTCAATTCTTGCACGATTTGATTCATTAGTCTTCACAAATCTTGTCGT